AATTAATTATTGAAAATAGATAAAATATAAATATTTTCTTAAGAAATGTTTGATAACTATCTGGACATTATGAAGATTTCGTTTGTGAAATTTTAAAATTTTCTGATGCATAAAAGCATTTTTAATCTTAAAATGAAAATTACTTTGCATGCTGGACAGGCAACATGCGAAAAGAAAAAAGGCATGAGAAAAACATAGCTTAACAAACCTTAAGACTTGATAAAAATTTGATATTTTGAGTATGAAAGCATTGTAATGTTTACTGATAATCTGCCAGATTTTGTTAACATTCGCTAACTAATTTAAAAGTTATAGCATGAAAACTATAACAAGCACAAAATGGTTACAAGGTCAGTCCCAGGGACCAAGCCTGTGCTGAAAAGAGTTAATACACTTTGTGTATCATCACAAAATTTGGCAGACTTTTAGTAAACATTACATGTCTTCTGTAAACAAAAAATCAATTTTTTAGTGAAGTTTTTTACTAAAGATTTGTTGGTGAATATATTGTATTTCTATATACTAGTCCGAGTGAAAAGTGATTTCCACTTCCATGTTAAGATTACAAATACTTTTCTCCATCTCAAAAAACTCAAATTTTATTTGTGTAATCTCTGAAAACCCCTTAATAAATTTCAAACTTTATTTTCAATAAAACTTTATATATATTATCTGTTATTTTCTCTACCCTAACTTTCTACAAGATTGGTCACTTTGACCGACTTCATAACCACCTTTTTTCTCCTTTGTAGAATGACTTCAAATTGTAATATGAAATTACATATGTTTATCCTAAATAGCTTTAAACTCATAACAGTATACATGTATTTACAATTCAATTTTATTGTTTTATTGCCCTTTGAACCCTGTTCGTGCCATTATAAGTTATAAATCACTTGTCAAATGTGCAGCTCACTTTACACTATTGAATTACATAACTGATGAAAAAATTTTATTACTATTATTTATTTCACCTAATCTAACCTTAACTAACATAAAAGTCTCCTATTTTTACATTTTAGTTATGTATAATAAAGAATACACATAAGTACTTAGCTAGGGTCTTCTTTTTTTTCTTGTTTGCTATTGACTGTTGATAACACTCTACCTTACTTTTTTATACTAATGGTAGTACTGCACTAAATAATTTTTTATTCAATTAAATAATGCATCTAACAACACAGAATAATAATTGCAAAAAGCAGACAATGTCCCATAACTATCACAATTTTTCTGGGTTTCAAACTATGCGACAAGAGCCGTTAAAACATCATTTAAGCTAGTTGATGTGTTTCCTGTGTGAATCAAGCTTGAATTAAAAGCGAAGTTGACAAAAAAAAACAATGTAATATCATACATTATTTGATAGATGGAAACCTTGGCTTTCTATTGGTTATAAAGATTTTAGTATTAAATGTCAGAGAAAACTACTGGCAATTTCTGAGAGAATTTGAGAAGAGACATCTCATTGTCTATTTCATGGCTCTTTAACCAAATAAGATTGTTCATAGGTAATCAAGTTAGGTATCCAGCTCTACTTGCTAACTGTAAAGGTAACTACAAAAAATGTGTGTGAATTTATCTCCTTTAAACTTGTTTCATATAAATTCTTCTCATAACAAGAGTTCCTATTACTATTATTAATTGCTACTCAATTTTATTAATTGTATACCATTCAAGCGTAAATCATGTTTAAATGTTTCGATTGTACCAAATTATATTCTTCCAGATGAACTATCTGGTAACATGTTTCAGACAGGATATCACTAAATGGAATGATTTGTACAAACTTTGTGTTGCATGTTTCAGTTACTGTTCGTATCACATTTAAACTTTTTTCTTTTCCACTGACTCAAAAGGTTATGGTTTTAGTGTTGTCTGTCTGTAGAAATCTACTTTCCACATGTCAACTTGAATTCTATACAGCAGTTTTTAATTCAAATTCACATGTCATTTTCCTTGAGGCATTGGAAGAACCCTATTGATTTTAGAGTTAAAAGATCATAGGAAAACATAACCACAAAATATACACTCACCAAAACTAAACAAAAAGCTAATGTTTGGGTGGTTTAGCCATTTTGCTAATGACTGTTTTCTTGTATCAGGAGGAGTCTAAAAAGAGGAGGAGAGATTAAGAGAAGACCGTCTCTTCCTTTAAAGCAGATCTTCACATGCTTTGCATTGTTGTTTAAGAAAATTTTCTTGTCTAAGATAAGATCAGGTTTATGAGTGGATTTGAATTGTTTACTCTATTTTGCCTGGAATTTAATATTACTATTTTAACGTCTTGCTTAAGGTATTTTAAACTGTATTATTTTGCAGTGTTAAACTGGCATTGCTTTTGTTAATAAATATTATTGTGGAGGTTTGCAATAAGTAACCATTTTGAAATATATAAAATATTTTATTGTATGTCTGCAATAAAGTTTAATTTCTGTTGTGAACCAACAGTAAATAGTTAATGTGTATAGGTTTTATTTTTGGAAGAGAAGATAAAAGGAATTGTCATTAAAAAAAGTAAATACAAGCACTTGATAATCTTCATTACTGTATTGTTTAGCTACACAAGTTTGGTTATTTAACAATTTTTGGTGTATTAAATAAAAATTCAGTTTATGTTTAAAGTTGGTTTTCCTACTATTTTTTCTTACATGCTACACATTATCTTAATTTAAATACAATAATTATAGGTATAAAGAACTGACCAAGAAAACTGTGTGAAGTTAGTGGGGTTAATATCAGTAATTGGTGTTTATAATTTTTTGTGACTCATTAACCAACAAAGTTGTGGATCCACAAACAAGTTGGTGCATACATAGTCTAGAGAAGTGTGTAAAAAGCCAATGGGTTTAAGTGTGTGTATTACTGTATTGGGCTTGGAACATTATGGCTCAATGTTATGGCATTGATGAAATTAGAGAATGGGATAGCTGGAGATGCTACCTGTTTACTGGATACACAGGTAGTCCCACACATACTCAGGATAGTACTGTAGAAGCTCCAGTTATCACCAGAAAACCATAATGCAGGTCCTATTTCACCTGCAAATGTTTAAGGGATTGATGAAAAACATAGTGTTCAGATTTTACATCCAGTATCACCTTAAACCATTGATTGCTAAATTTCTTGTTTAACTGGATGGATATGTATACTATTCCTCCCCTACTTCTAAATTAATGCTGTTCTGTTCTGATCTTTTTTAATGTTATATCAGTAACAGTCAAAAACAAGGATATGACAATATGTTCATATGAAATTTAATAATGGAAAAATATTAATACAAAAACATTTTATTACACTCTTTCTAGTACAAAGAATCTGATAAATTTAACACAGATTTGTTAACTTACAATAACTTCACTGTTTCATGCAGTAGTAAACGAGAATAGTTTAAATAAGTAACATAACCTTATAAAAGTAAATGTTTTATTCAGGCTCTCACCACTCCTTGTTACAAATATATTAAGATGAAATTTAAGTCCTTTGCTATTCAACAGGCAAGATAGAGGGAGTTTTCTAGAGCAACTTCATAAAGAAATTCAGTGTTTCCTTATAACTGAAACATTCATATGAGCCAGAAATTTTGTTTTGGCTTTTTTGCTAAAGCCAAATTTATTTTAAGTCAACTTGCCAAATAGAATAACAATGAAGTGGTTAATACTTGTTGATTTTGCTTTGAATTAACAGACCACATGCAAGTTATAGTCATAAAAGAGAAAAAAAAAACTTGTAATATGTAATGGTACATGTAGGATTACACACACTATAAGAATTATTTGTGTTATAATACAGTAGCATGTCCCACCCATATACTTAGATTCACAGTCCTTGCCAAGGAAGAATGTACATATAGAGCACTTACTGTATAAAATGATAAAGTATGTAACACCTCAATAAAAGTAGAAAAAGTTTGCACAAGTAAGTGTTTATGAAAGCAACAGGCTTTAACACCACTCACAAATCAATCCAAAATAATACCCTGATCTGCACAGTAAAAGCTATGTTGCAAAACAGAACTCTTGATTCTGAAAATAAATAAATAGCTATATTCACAGCAATTCATACACTAATGGATTTTTGTGCATTCACATTGTTTAAATGTGGTTTTGGAAGTTGATATTCAAGTAAAGTGGAGAGTCTGTGAAAAGATTGTGCTTAAAATAACTTAACTGATACCCTAGGTAGAAATTAAGGGTGCACACTTAATACTGATCTTAATGCTTTTTCAAGAAGCTCGTTACAAGAGAAATGATGGTGTTGGGCAGTAATGTGTAATCATGACCATCTGGAGGAGCTTGACTGACAATAGAAGTAGCTTCTAGGGAAGAAACACCAAGAATATTATTCTTATGAAAGTCCAATTAACTCCCAGTATAAGTTATATTTTGTAAGTATACCAGACAATGTAGGAAAGAGTGAAATGCTTGAGTTGTAACATTTCTTTTGCAATGATGGGTAATCACACTTCAAGCTTCATTACTAGCTCTTATTAATATAACTATACTTCTTGTAAGAAACACAGCAACTTTGGAGTGACTATTTGAATATATTTTTTTTATCAATAAAAAACAACTATAAATACTTCAAATACCATGTTACATAGGAATAATTAATAATTTCACTAGGAAGTAAAAATGGCACATTATACATATAAACACAAGTATACAGACAATAAAATTCATGGGTCAGTAATAGAAATGATAAGCATCAAGGAGTATTTCTGGCATAAAAATAATTATGCTGACAGATTTTCGTTTTTATTGGAATGCAAAACAGTGTCATGGAAACTATACCTCAACTAAATATAGTGAAGGATATTGATTTTATAAGGATATTGATCTTATATGGTATTTAATTACTATGTCTACAAGCATTAATGCTTGTAGATATAGTAATTAAATACTATATAAAATCAATATCTTTAATGCTTGCAGACATAGTAATTAAATACCATATAAAATCAATATCCTTAATGCTTGAAGACATAGTAATTAAATACCATATAAAATCAATATCCTTAATGCTTGTAGACATAGTAATTAAATACCATATAAAATCAATATCCTTAATGCTTGAAGACATAGTAATTAAATACCATATAAAATCAATATCCTTAATGCTTGTAGACATAGTAATTAAATACCATATAAAATCAATATCTTTAATGCTTGCAGACATAGTAATTAAATACCATTAATTTGCCAATTTGTCAGATAAAAAAAAATATTTACATTACTAGAAAAGAACCCAGTCTACAAGCTGCTAAGATCATATTTGAGGGATGTCATGTTTTTCAGTATTCAAGATGTAGAATTTATGGGATTGGTCAGTCTGTGTTCCTGTTATACAAAACAGTAGAATTTTTGTCTTGGCACACACTTCAGGCAAGTACTGACTTTAGCCACTTTACAGCAACAAGTAAGCTTCATTGGGCCTTCCTGGCCATCTCTATCAACAGAACTCTCAAAAATCATGGAGAAAATAGCTTTATAGAGCTGAGGAACTAAATATTTTATTTTGTAATATGTTTTGTGAGGGATTTTAGAAGAGGATTATGGGTTCTACTCCCTTGTAGCCTGAAAACTAGTGCAAATTTGGCCACACCAGTGGGCAATTCAGATTCCAGGTATTGTAGAAAGTTCAAGCCTCTATTCAGAACCTAGAAAGAAAGGATATATTGGAAAGTTTTTTTTTGGGAATCAACCCATCAAAAATGTCTCACTGACTCATAGACTGGGTGTTAAAAGAAAAACTGTCTAGCAATCCAACTTGTTTAAAAATTGTTCTGAAGACGGGTTTATTGAGAAGAAAATTTTATAAACTGTCAGTCCACATGGTTTTAACTACTAGATATGTTATTCTGATAAACATGGCTTTAATAACAAGAATAAACTTGGGAAAAACCTAGAAGAGATCATCTTAGCAGGAATAAACAAAAGTACATGTGCAAAAGATGGCTTTGGCAGTGTCGTTTAGAGAAAAGTAAACAAACAGCCCTGTTGATTCTTCAAAACTAAGTAAGCTTTTTGTTTTTTAACTCTAAGGCTTATTGAGATAAAGCCCTTTTCTACTTTCGAAACTTCTTTGTTTGTCCGAATACCTAACTGACATAAGTATTCATATAGTATTAGTACAAACTTGTTAGGCTTAGCTTCATGCCCCTATTCTATTGTTAGGAATGTCTTGTTGAGATAGATGTTTATACAATTTTTAGAAAAGCTTACATTTGACAATTATTTGCTGTTTATTTTTTTAACAATTTAAACATGATACATCCAATTAGCACGCCTTGTTCGCATTAAATAATGTCAAGGAAACAGAAACAAACAATCACAAATAAAGAAGTCAATGCATTATAAGATATACCTCCAGCACAGTGTACTCAGCTATAGAATGACTAAGTATTGATCTTGAAAACACCAAGAGCCGTGGTAACTACTAGTAATATAACACTATATAAACAAATAATGAAATGTTATTTTCTAATCAAAAATGTTTTCCTTTCAACAAATACAAGAATTTAACCACTATCAATAACCTTATAAAAGTAATCATATTTAAAGTTATATAAAAAAAATGATGCATTTCTCAATTATGTATAAGATTGGTCAGATTTTAGACAGACTCTACTGTTGCATTATGAATAGTGGTCTTACCAAGTCAAAAAACGAGAGAAAATAAATTTTTCAACTTCCGTTAAAATGATTTTCATAGGTCTCAAAAAAACTTCACATTATTTTCTAAAAATCATTATAGGTAAGAAATTTAATCAAATTTCAACACCTGGGATAGCTTTGAGTGATTTTCTTTGCTGATTGTCGAATAATTGTATGTACACAAAGGGAATCTCTGATATGTAAAGTATTAACTGGTAAAAAGTTCATGAAAATATGATGAACAAACTGAAACAAGTTCAGAAAAATAGCTACTAATTAAAATTATTGCAAGAGAGAAAAAGAAATACACAGTGTTTTGGCCAAATAAATTATCATTTCTTTATGTTTCCATCTTTTTTTTATGTTTATTTGTTGATGCATTGCTACAGTTTGTTTACCCAAGTTACTAATATCATTCACTTTCTCAAGTTTAACATATTCTAACAAAGTCAGTATGTGGTTTAACAACTGAAGTCTTCACTCAGAAAACGTAAGGTTATATTGTTCCTTTATGTTTAGTAATCACATTGGCACAAACTATACAAATGGAAACAAATTCTTCCTAAAAATCTCACCTGTTTCTTTATAGGACTTGTAATTTGTTTTCACTTGTGTGCAGAATAACACTAATAATGTTGACACATCTACTCTTTCCATTAAAACTTATCTGACCTTTGTACACGAACATCACACCAAAGAAGTTAAATAACGAGAAATTTCACCTCAGTTTTTGGTCATATCATGATTAAACTGAAAATCTTTCAGTCTGAAATGAGGGGAAGTCTGAGTGTACAAAAATATAAGGAAACTGATACAATAATTATTATAATATGCTCAAAATAAATCTAATTCTTAATAATTAAAATTAAATCCACAGTTTTGTAGCTATAGATATATTAAAATACTTTTATGTTCATGGAAAAGTCCCCTTCACTCATCCATGTTCATTAATAATAATTGTGGGTAGAAAAAATATTGCTCTTCCCATTACTAACTGGAAGCCACCCAACTAGCAGGAACCCACTGTGGATCCATTTCAACCCGTTTTGTTGTAGCAATGAGCTCTTCTGTGGCTTTAACAATGTCATCATTAACAATTGTAACATCACACATGTGTCCATACAAAAACTCTATCTTGTGTGCACTGAAAATAATTTCATGGAATTCTTCATCCTGTTCACAGAAAAAGTAAAAAGTTAAGAAATTTAAACCACAAACATCTGTAAGTGTTATGCAATTTTTTTTTTCATAAGGTGACACTGTAATGGTTTTAGAGTATTTCATTCTTTTATGGCTATATTTCAATACAAATGGGCAATCTGACACAAAAAAATACTAACTATTCTTTCAGTGCAATAACAAATAAGTGGTGAAATTTTGTTTAAAAAAGAAAGCAACAACTGTCTTACTATTAAGAAGACTATGTTAACTATCTCAAAATGATTACTGGTTTTGGGCAATATGGTATTAAAGCTATTATATTACTTGTGAAAAACTTAATATTTTGCTTCATCAAAAATTAAAGACTAATATAATTTTTTTAAATCTGTATTACCACCATTTTACAGAGTTAAGATTTTTTTTGTAAGTATATTTACAGCTTTAAGTAGCAAGCATTCTATACTAGCTCAAAGATAGTTCATCTTATTAATAGTGAGATAAATTACTACCTTTTACATAAAATTAAACTTCAATTCAAATTTCATCAATTATTTATTATTAGCTTCCTGAAACAGTTGTACCACAAGAAAGCGTAGTAATTTTTTCTATTAGGTTGTATATTTTTCTTGAATTATTATAAATCAACCAATACTTCAATGGCACTGCTCCCAGGCAGGTATAACTGCCACTGAATAATCACTCAAAAATTATTAGAGAAATTAATAGACGAGAGAGAATTCAAACCCATAAAGCTGCTACCATCACTTAGTCAGATAGTTAGTCAGTCTTACACTGTAACACTGCCAGTCATTTACATTCAGTTTTGTCTCAAACTGTAACACTGCTAGTCATTTAGATTTAGTTTTGTCTCAAACTGTAACACTGCTAGTCCTTTATATTCAGTTTTGTCTCACACTGTAACACGGTTACTCTATATCACAGCCACAACCACCAATATCAATCATGTCTATTTGATGGTCTATATCACAGCCACAACCACCAATATCAATCATGTCTATTTGATGGTCTATATCACACCCACAACCACCAATATCAATCACGTCAGTTTGATGGTCTATATGACAGCCACAATCACCAAACTGACATGAGTGACCAAACTGACATGAGTGATATTGGTGATTGTGATATAGACCATCTGTGATGTAGACCATGTGAGTGATATTGGTTGTGGTTGTGACATAGACCATCAAACAGACATGATTGATATTGGTGGTTGTGGTTGTGACTGTGATGTAGACCATCAAACTGACATGAGTGATATTGGTGATTGTGATATAGACCATCAATCTGACATGAGTGACATTGGTGATTTTGGCTGTCATATAGACCATCAAACAGACATGATTGATATTGGTGGTTGTGGTTGTGATATAGACCATCAAACAGACATGATTGATATTGGTGATTGTGATATAGACCATGAATCTGACATGAGTGACATTGGTGATTGTGGCTGTCATGTAGACCATCAAACTGACATGAGTGATATTGGTGATTGTGACTGTGATATAGACCATCAAACTGACGTGAGTGATATTGGTTGTGGTTGTGACATAGACCATCAAACAGACATGATTGATATTGGTGGTTGTGGTTGTGATATAGACCATCAAACTGACGTGAGTGATGTTGGTGATTGTGACTGTGATGTAAACCACCAATATCAATCATGTCAGTTTGATGGTCTATATCACAGCCACAACCATCAATATTATTCATGTCTATTTGATGGTCTATGTCACAGCCACAACCACCAATATCATTCATGTCAGTTTGATAGTCTATGTCACAGCCACAACCACCAATATCAATCATGTGAGTTTGATGGTCTATATCACACCCACAACTACCAATATTATTCATGTCTGTTTGATGGTCTATATCACAGCTACAACCACCAATATCAATCATGTCTGTTTGATGGTCTATATCACAGCTACAACCACCAATGTCACTCATGTCAGTTTGATAGTCTATTTCACAGCTACAACCACCAATATCATTCATGTCAGTTTGATGGTCTATATGACAGCCACAATCACCAAAGTCACTCATGTCAGTTTGAAGGTCTACGTCACAACCACCAATATCAATTATGTCAGTTTGAAGGTCTATGTCACAACCACCAATTTCAATCATGTCAGTTTGATGGTCTATATCACAATCACCAATATCACTCATGTCAGTTTGATGGTCTACATCACAGCCACAATCACCAATGTCACTTATGTCAGTTTGATGGTTTATATCACAACCACAACCACCAATATCAGTCATGTATGTTTGATGGTTTATGTCACAACAACCAATATCAATCATGTCTCTTTGAAGGTCTACATCACAGCCACAACCTACACAGTTTGAGTTTCTTCAACAAATGTTTTCAATATCCTGCTAAATGGTTGAATTAAATTGTACTTACTGTAAATCCATGTGAACAGGTTTCATCAAATGTAGATCTTGCATTGGCTCTAATTCTTGTTTCTTTCAACTGATCCAAATGGGGGGGCTTGATGAATATAATGAATGGTTTCAATTCAGGAGTTCTCAACAACTTTAACGCCTATAAAACAATATATAGAAAAATAATTCAGTGTTATTTATTATGGTATGTAATGCCTATTGAGAATAAGCTTACGTAAATAACATTTTGACCAAGGCTTTGTATTGTCCCTGCCCAACAATCCTCGCATGTTTTCCTCAAGATGATGCTATGTTGTTCTTACTGGACACTTTTGAAAGGCCAGTAAAAGAAAATTTGTTAAAAATTATTAATTCTATTGTGATGTAATGTCACACAAGCAACTAATCTATAAATCACGATTGTATTTAGTGAAGCTAGCAAACACATTTAATAACAACTGACAAAAAGAATACGTTAACAAATGTACACACAAAAATATCAAGTACTTAATACAATCATCAGAAACAAACATTAACTGTAACCATTGGTTATTTTCAGACTTATAACTAAAATCAAAACATGACGAGAAATCCCCCTTAATATAAACAAAGTTTGAAGTAACTAAATCAAAACATGACTTGTTTCACATATACATCGAAATTCTCTTAATATAAACAAAGTTTCGAAGTTATTAAATCAAAACAAGTCTTGTTTCACATACACATGGATATGTAAATAAAGTTTTGAGGTTACTATTAAATTGTACATGAATGTCATGTTTTATACAGGAAGGATTAAACAAATATCCAAATGAATTTACCACAGATGGAAACAGACTTAACGCAAGTTTGTAATAAATTCTGAGAGTAATACAAAATTAATGGAAACTAATTTCTTGGGCTGAATAAAGAAAAGCAAAAAACAATCTTTTGTTCTCTCTTTTAATGACTTCATTCATATATGATAGTTCACTGCTAAACTTCCAAGACAACCTGGATTATTCTAGACATGTCTATCTACAATATGTGTTATATGTATATTAAAACTATTGCATCTTTACCTGTGGATGAGGGTTCATTACACAAGCATATCCAGCGTTTACTATGGAACGAACAGTCTCCACATTAGTTCCATACAGGTTGCCTTTGTACTCGCCGTGCTCAATGAAATGGCCAAAACCTATTTCCTCTTCCATAAACTCCCTTGATACAAAGTAATAATCTTTCCCATCCTCTTCCCATGGTTTTCTCGTTCTGCTAGTGTCTGAAATAATTCAACAGCTATATATATAATATACTTAGTCAGTATAACAAAAATTATTATTAAGTCTACTCGACAATTTCTACAGACTAACAACATAAAATTATATACTGTCTGATTGCACAACACAAAATAATATATTTTTGGTAAAGGCTCAAAGAATGAGAATGGTCTGGTCAATATTGCAAAAATTCCAGTCATAGAATTAATAAAACTTAAATACTATTTTAACTTTATCAATAACCTTTCAATTTGCCTATCTTTACTAATTCTAATGACCAATCCACAAATTAGTTTTGACATTTTAGCATTATGTTATATACCATATTGAAAAAAATCAATGTTTATTTGCAACAAGATTTTTAAATATGCTAACCAAATGTTTTCACAGTATGATCATTGTGAAGTTAAGGGTTAACACTACACATACCTTCCAACTGTACAGAATTAAGTGGGATTGTATCAAATTTGTCCCTTGACAAAAGCCTCCAAACTAGGTTCTTAAAAATGTGAAAATCTACCAAATCTTATAAACATCTTTATCGTGTTTATATTTCCCCCAGAATCTTAACTGCATACCACAAAAATTGCCCAAACTAAAGGAACTTATTACATTAGCCAATCATAGTGGTTCTTTTTTTATGGCACTTCCAGTAATCTCTTAACTACATTTTTGGCTTGAGTTACCAAATGCATATGGACCAGCTTAAGATAATACTTTATAAAATTTGAGTAAGCTTAAGAATGAATCAAAACTTTTCAAAATCAATAAATGTCACATTTTCTCCCAAAAGACATACTGACAGGTAGGTACATGACAGTACCAGTGTAGATGTTTCTTGTAGTCAGAAGAGTGGGGAACTTCAGCTGATTGCAAGATGAAACACTGTGAATACTGGAAAAGATAAGGGTAATGTTCTGATTGGACAATGATCTTAAGAATACTCAAAAAAAGAGTAGTAACAGGATAGAAGAATAGTTTTCCACATGATGTGCACCAAAGAATTTGGTTGAGACCTGAGTATTTCCACCGATTTTGCTGTAGAGCTGACAGGAACATCTTCAAATCATATGTAGAGTTCATTTTAATTTACCAAGTATCATTGTCGTCACAAAATCATACTCAAGTTTAAAGACAGTTCTGTCAAAAAGCTGAATCAATGCAAGTTAAAAATAAAAAAAGATATCTTATGTATAATTCCTCTAAGCCATTCTTGCATTACTAAAATTAACAGCGACTCAATTACAAGTCCTTCCCCCTTCTCCAGATTATCCAGATTTCCAGAATTTTTGGAGTTAGTGCCCCTGAAGATTTTGAACATACTGCTACTCTCAGGGACAATAAAAAAAAAACAGTAGCCATCCATATGCATATAGGACAACAATGATAAAGAAGAGAAGTCCATGTATCAAAATAAGCTATTCCTATTTTACAACATTACACTTCTTACTCAAACCTCTTTACAGCATATATTATGGAGGTTCTGTTTCCCCTTTTGTTTCTTACATCTTAACTTTTTAAACAGCTTTTCAATAACAACGATTAACAATTTGTGTGAGTATTAACTTCCGTCTTATGAACCAAAGTTATTTATTCTGGTGACTAAGTAATACAGCTCAATTTTCAACATTATCTCTTGTAAACCACTGCTGTGGAAAAACGTACGTTATATATTGTTGTTGTTTTTAGTGAAAAGCTACGTAATGAGCTATGTGCTCTTTTTCCACCACACAAAATCAAACCCAGGATTTTAGTGTTGTATGTCTACTGTAAAACTAAGATAATCAGATATATACATATATATACGTTCATACTTCGCAATTACAAATTTTAATCTATGTCTCTTACAATAAGTTTGTAATCATTTTTATGTGATCATACCACTTAATAATTAACAGAAAAATTTGTATGATCATATAGCCATATCAATATTCAATCAAGCATTCGTATAAAAGGCCAGTTTTCGACTGGCGACTGACTGCATGAATAAATTTCATAAAATTATTCTGTCATCTTATAAATGATGTCAGTTCGGGTTGATTAAAATTTTTTTTTAAATTTAAAACAATATCTGAACAAGTTTCTAACAAGAATAAAAGTAATGCCTAATCTATATATATATATATATAAAGATGAAATGTGTGTGTTTGTTTGCACCTTAACTACTCTGAGCATATTGGGCAAAACTCAACCAAAATTTGTATGTAAACACTATGAACTATGGAAAATGTCCAAAGGGGTTAAAATTGAACTTATCCCCATTTCCATTTTGTAAAGCCTAATGGTTAATTACTCCCAGCCTATTAAGTCAATCTCAAAGAAGCTTGGCAGGTTGATGTTTTAGACATTGTTGAATATTCTAAATGGATTCAAGGTCAAAGTATGAAAGTTGCTGGATCGTCTCTCAAACAACCATGCTTTTCTCATGGTCAGTGAGATGTAAGGTATTCAACGGTGGAATCACCTCTAAATCTTTATTTGTTGGTAGATGGAAAGCAAACAGTAAAAGCTGTTTATGAATAAGCTTTGTTATAACTTTAAAATTTTCAGAAAAAGTTTATGTTCAAGTTATTACTTTGAAACATATGATTTTTGTTAAACTTACACTTTTTTAATTAAATTCAAACATTCTCTGTCAGTTGATGGGTATTTCAGCTTGTCTTCAAATAAAAGATCATTTAAATGAGTCTATGCTCAATACTATAAATACATACGGGGTAGAGTCTATGCTCATTAATATAAATACATACAGGGTAGAGTTCATTACTACAAATACATACAGGGTATAGAGTCTATGTTCATTACTATAAATAAATACAGGGTAGAGTCTATGCTCATTAATATAAATACATACAGTGTAGAGTCTGTGCTCATTACTATAAATACGTACAAAGTAGAGTCTGTGCTCATTACTATAAATATGTACAATGTAGTCTGTGCTCATTACTATAAATACGTACTATGTAGAGTCTGTGCTCATGACTATAAATATGTACAATGTAGAGTCTGTGCTCATTAGTATAAATACATACAATGTAGCATCTGTGCTCATTACTATAAATACGTACAATGTAAAGTAAAAAAATATGTACAATGTAGAGTCTGTGCTCATTACTAAAAATATGTACAATGTAGAGTCTGTGCTCATGAATATAAATATGTGCAATGTACAGTCTGTACTAATTACTATTAATGTGTACAATGTAGAGTCTGCGCTCATTACTATAAATAGTTACAATGTAGCATCTGTGCTCATTACTATAAATACATACAATGTAAATTCAATGATTTTTACTATAAACACATACAATGTAGCATCTGTGCTCATTACTATAAATACATACAATGTAAATTCAATGCTTTTTACTATATACACTTACAATGTAGAATCAATGCTTATTACTATAAATACATACAGGGTAGAGTGTGCTCATTACTATAAATACGTACAATGTAGAGTCTGTGCTCATTACTATAAATACATAAAATGTAGAGTCAATGCTTATTACAATAAATACATAAAATGTAGAGTCAATGCTTATTACTATAAATACATAGCGGGTAGAGTCAATGCTTATTACTATAAATATATACAATGTAGAGTCAATGCTTATTACTATAAATACATAGCGGGTAGAGTCAATGCTTATTACTATAAATATATACAATGTAGAGTCAATGCTTATTACTATAAATAAATAAATACAATCTATAGTCACTGCTTATTACTACAAATGCATACCAGGAGAGTCTGTGCTCATTACTATATATACATACAATGTAGAGTCTGTACTCATTACTATATATACATACTATGCAGAGTCTGTGCTCATTACTATAAATACATACAATGTAAAGTCAATGCTTCTTACTATAAATACATACAGGTTAGAGTCAATGCTTATAACTATAAGTACATACAGTGTAGAGTCTGTGCTTATTATTATAAAGACATACCGGGTAGAATCAATGCTTATTACTATAAATACATACCGGGTGGAGTCAATGCTTATTACTATAAATACATAATGGGTAGAGTCAATGCTTATTACTATAAATACATAATGGGTAGAGTCAATGCTTATTACTATAAATACATATAATGTTGAGTCTGTGCTCATTACTATAAATACATACAATGTAGAATCTGTGCTCATTACTATAAATACGTACAATGTAGAGTCAATGCTTATAACTATAAATACATACAATGTAGAATCAATGCTTATTACTATAAAAACATACAGAATAGAGTCAATGCTCATTACTATAAATATATATCTGGTAGAGTCAATGCTTATTACTATAAATACATACGATGTGGAGTCAATGCTTATTCCTATAAGTACATACAGGGTAGAGTCAATGCTTATTACTATAAATACATACGATGTGGAGTCAATGCTTATTCCTATAAGTACATACAGGGTAGAGTCAATGCTTATTACTATAAATACATACAATGTAGAGTCTGTGCTTATTACTATACATACAGAGTAGAGTCTGTGCTTATTGCTATAAATACATACGAGGTACAGTGGTTTTATAGTGGTCAGGATCTGTTGCTAATAACCTTCTCTTTAGTTCATTTCTTCCAACACCAGGAGGCCCTAAAGAAAAAAACACTGAATGTTATATTTGAAGGAATTCAATATTTTCATTAACTTATTTTGAAAGAATTAATAAATGTCTACTTCTTCCTCTGTCAGTCATGCTCACTTGAATAACCACAATTACACACTGTCTCTTTCCTCCTTTATCAGTCACGTTCACTTGAATAACCACAATTACACACTGTCTGTTTCCTCCTCTGTTAGTCATGCTCACTTGAATAACCACAATTACACACTTTCTATTTCCTCCTCTATCATTCACGTTCACAATTACACACTGTTGTAACAAGCTTCAGTGGAAATGTTTCCACAACACAGCTGACAAACTTTCCATAGACTGTACGTAAACAACAGCATTTAAGGCCATGTTAAGAAAAATAAATGAACAAAGATTCACAATGGATCTGCATCAGAAGACTTGAAACTTTGTTTTCAGCAATCTTTCCCATAAAAACAACTTCTGAACTCTTGGCTTATGAGCCTTCAGAACTTTACTATATTTCTAATGCCCCCAAGCAATATGCCCAGCTTCATCACATTGGATGTTTGAGTACGATAAATCTGTTTGACAGCCAAAGCCTTCATTTTCCAGTTGAGGGTGTTGCTCCAGATTGGTCTGTGGTATAGTTTCTTTAGGAATCTTACTGAACAAATATCCTTCGTTTGAAAAGGCTATGAAATTTTCCCTCAGTCAAAATCCTAACCTAACTGTATTGTACTGTTGAATGTTCAAGAACATAATTCTCTCTTACACTTGCTATTAGATAAGAAACACAAAGAGCAGACAGAATTCCAGATATACTGAATTTCTTGTTTTTCATATATATATATTCTTTTTTTTGTAAAAGTAATTAAAAATGTAGAAATTAGAAACTTATTAGGTTAGGTAAGAAAGCTTAAATAAAAAAGAAAATTCTCATGATATTCAATATCCTGGCATGAGCACATCACATGGCATGATTGTTGTTCAATCACATATTTACACAGAGCTGTCTGGTTATGATAAATGGCTTTTAACGTAGTCTGAGAGGGTCTAAGAGCAGTTGTAAAGCAATAAAACAAAATGACCCAGATTTAAGAGTTTCTTAGCTTCGGCTGTAAAAATAGATAGTGTATAACTGTCTATTACAATATGAAGATGTTCTAGAAATAAAAACAGAGTAATCTAGATTTATTTCATAACAAGCTGAGGTACCTGTCCTTTGTCCAAGTTATGAACTAAAACAAGATATGTGGATGGATGCTATGATAAATAACACAAAAATCCTAATTTTTACACCACGTATTCATAAGATATTATTACAGTATTCATTTTTACTACACCAAAAGTTTTATGTAAGCTTTAACAACTCAATATGTATATACTTAAAACATGGTATACACTTTGTTATGGTCAGAGTGAGTTTGTAGGAAGAGGGAACAGCCAAAGTAGTGGTTTCTGTTACCCAGTTTCAACACCCGCCTCTTTATATCTTCCATATTGTTTCATGTGATTAATCAATTGACAGTCATTGGCCACAGAAGTGTCTTACAGGCCAAAGTTAAAAGTTAACAGGTCCAAGTAGGAAGTAGATATATCTCAAGAAATGGCTTTTCATATCATCCTTATGGTGGCTTTTGGAGTAGAAACTTCAGCTGAGTTTATGAATTATTGCGACAGTGGTGGCCATTTATTTTCATTGCATTCCTCTGTAGAGAGCACTAGTGCACACTGCACACATATATATATATATATATGTATATATATATATATATATATTTATTGTGTTACAGAAAATTTGTTATTTTTGGTGTAGGACATGGCACCATCTATGAATGTAGTTAACGTCAACCTACAAAGGTCATAAATGCTCAATAATGGCAATAATGGGAGGTGAAGAGGGCTGTAAACCCCTCACCAACATGCCCCTTTCTCCAAACTTTGGTTGAAATTGGCCCACCAACCTAGTAGTAGTTAGATAACAGACAGACACACAGATTTTTTTGTGCTTTATATATATTTATACATATAAAAAGAGAGAGAGATTTTAAACTTTTCATTTTACCCTACATTGAGGATTTCACTACGGTAAGTGTTGAGTAGAGAAAATAACAGATAGAATATGAAGTTCCAGTGAAAAAAATGTTGAGGTTTAGTTAGAAAGTTCTATAATTTATGTGAATGTAAGATGAAAAAAATGTATTTATATTTTTAGCATGAAAATTATCTTACACTTGGATCGATTCAGTAAAGGCTTCATAAATTTATAGACAAATCTTTAGTTAAATACTTACCAAAAACCTGATTTTCTGTATACAACAGACTTGTAATGTTTACTCAAAGACTGCTACATTTTGTAAAGATACACTTAATAAATTCAGAGTTAGGGTATGTATAGTTTCTTAGTTACAAGGAGAGTCAAATTGACCAAGTCCAAGTTTACAGAGTCAACTAATATGACATAATTATGACACTGCAGGGTCATTAGATCATAACACAGTCTTAACTTGACTTGAACAGAAGGATTTCAAAGTATCTGACAGAGTCCATGCTGTTACTGTTATGAACTTAAGGCTTTCTCTTCTGGTAGCTAGGTATTATAGGTAAATTATGGACTCTTCATCAGCCAAACCCATGTCACTATTCTATGAATTCTAACTATACAACAGTATTAACACCCATTTCATCTATAAAATGCTGCTGCTCTCACCCTAATTCTGTCTATTTGAAGATATCAACCAATTAGCATTGTGATTCGTATCTATTTATAAAATAAAACTGTACTATTTTAAAGTAAGTATTAAATGAATGATTTTCAATCCTTTTTTCAAATCATTTATGCAAAGTTACAAATTCTGTGACTTTAGGGTTTAAAATTAGTGTTTTAAAATTGTAGGTTTGGTAAACAACTTCATAAGTAATACCCTAAATGTTACACTTACCAATTAATATAATTGGCCTGTGTAGTCCAGGTCTTGGATATAGTTTTGCAACCTCTTCATAAGTTGCTAGTTCCTCCCTATCAAAATCTGTAATTTAAAGATTATTTAACTTTTCTACACAACAAAATATACACAGCATGACAAACAAACTTCTTTTACCTATGTAAATAAAATATACACTGCACTACAAATAAACTTCTTTATGTATGTAAATATAATATACACAGCACTACAACTAAACTGCTTTTACCTATGTAAATAAAATATACACAGCATTTCAACTAAACTTCTTTCACAAGATAATATAGCTTTACAAATATTTTTGTTTTATCTTATTAGACATGGAGGGTTAATTATATTTTATAAGAACTATATTCGAGGTGCCATACTACTTTTGAAACTACTTTTCTGAACCATAATCAATTTGATGATCATTATTATGTACTGTTACTCATGGACAGCAGCTTTACAGGCAACATTTAATCAAACAAATGTTCATGGATGTGCAGTCAGGTAACTTCAGAAATACATCCATAGAAATTAATTTCATTCTCCATCTGTGGGCTTCAACCCGACATAGCCTACATCTTCTTGGTACCATGGTCTCAAAGTACAGGAATTTTATCTTGTATAAATGGTATCAATACATTCTCCTTTTTCATCTCTGCTTTATTGTGGACTTTGCAAAGTCTTACATTTTCCACTGTCTGAGAAATTGACAAATCTGCAGCAATCATGAAGCCTAATGAAAAACTTTCTTTACTTTCTCTGTACCTTCTAGAAAAGTCCACATTGACTCACAATTGGTAGCAGATTTGTACCATGAATTAACCAACATTGCAACAAATGTTCATCTTTCATGTGCAAAGCATTTTCATACACTGTTTGTAATTTGTCTTTTCTCTCACCAAGGAGTTTAGGAAGCAGCTTGTGTACTTGTGGTTTGTGCTTTTTTATTATAATTATCTAGTGCACAGTTTTTACAATTTGTTAGCAATTATTTTATGGTTTGGTGGAGGGACTCCCTGGACAACAACTGTTCGTGATAGGTGTGCTGTTTTAATAGTCTGGCATTCTAATGTAGATATACAGATCTTCCCTTACTGTTGTTATTTACTAAGTTAAAGACAGTCACCTTTGAAACTTGTGTGCCCCAGACTTTGTAGTTGTTTGCTACATAGCCATCTTTTTGCTATAGCACATACTTCGAGGCAGAAGTTTCCCCAAGGTAACAGTTCACTTACAAGTGGTCAGGAATTCACTATGAACCAAAATATAGGTGTTAAGTGGAACCACATTTGAATATACAGTGGCAGATTACTGGATAAGCACATAGAGATCATTCTTATAAAATATGTGCACCTCCCCTCCTTTCTCTACACACACACACACACACGCACACATATATATATATTTCCTGTCTCAAACTAGTTTTGACAGTTAAAATGTATCTATCTTAACACACATTCTGAAAATATACAAGCTGCTCTAATTCATGCTTACGTACCATCATTTTCTGAAACATCGTACATGATTTTTTTCACTTTTCTTGATTTCTGTTCTTTTAAGCCTGGTGACTGACACCTTGGCAACACCTCTTTTTTTTTCAAGGAAAGATCCCTTATGGTAGCTATTCTCCTGTAATGTAAACATGGTTATTATATCAAGATAAATCACATGTGGCAAAATTTACAGCAGAAACCTTGTGACTTGCATATGTACATCAACACCAATAAAATAAACTGAAGTTATAAATGACTATTTCTGTAAATACTGTCATGCACTGGTCTCCCACCCAACTTCTTTAGAAGTTGGCAAATGTCTCTTGGATTTTCTGAGAAACAGGTCTTTATGACTTACTGAAGATAGTTCAGGGTGTATCCTAATATTAGTTCATAGTTACAAAAAACTTTTCTCCACTAAAACATTTTTCCCAGATAACAAAAACAGAAATGTTATTTTAAAACAAAGAAAAAAAAAGATACGAGAATAGTAATACAGCTGCTATATTTCACATCACCATTCCCAAGGTTTGAAATTCACGTATCCAACCCAAACAGTTCTTTCATCAATTACTTCTGCTGTTCTATTGGTAGTAATTTAAATACTAGAACAGCAGAACATGGAGATGCTCGTCACATGTCTACCAACATTTTAAAGATACAGAACGTTGTAATGAAAATAAAACTGTTAAAATTATTCGTCAAGAACCTAATATTAATGAACATAAAATAAAAAAAGCCATTTTAATAAAGGAATACAAACCTTTAATAAATAAAACACAAGGAATAGGTTTATACTTATGTTAGCTCAAGGTTAAATGGTTGACATAACTGAAAATAAAACTGTTAAAATTATTTGTTGAGAACCTAATATTAATAAATGTAAAATAAAAAAGCCATTTTGATAAAGGAATACAAACCTTTAATAAATAAAACACAAGGAATAGGTTTATACTTATGTTAGCTTAAGGTTATATGGTTGACATAACTGAAAATAAAACTGTTAAAATTATTTGTCGAGAACCTAATATTAATAAACGTAAAATAAAATAAGTCATTTTGATAAAGGAATACAAACCTTTAATAAATAAAACACAAGGAATAGGTTTATACTTATGTTAGCTCAAGGTTATATGGTTGTCATAACCAACTGGGTGTACTTAAGTGTTGTGTACAATTGTGCTGAGTATCTGATGATGTAATGTTAACGGTGGCATTTTGTTTTTAAATGATGAATTTTTTCTATCCCATTTTAGCTGTTTTCTAATTTTAACTTTATAGAAGTTTTATTTCAGAAATTTTGACAATTATTTCAATCAAATTAGCATTATTCATGTATAACAGAGAACAACTATTATTAACCCTACATGCACATGCTAAACTTGTAATCTATAATCACAAATCAAGAATAATAATAGTAGAGCTTTGCAATCAACTCAATTAATTGATATAATTCATTACATCAATTAGTGTTCCACAAAATATTCAATCAAAATTAGGGTTAAATCAATTAATATAACAAAAATAGTCAACTACTCAAAATTAAGGTTTCTGATTATCATTGTTATTGTTTAATCAAAATATTTCATTGACCAAAGTATTGCCATTACTATTTCCAAATATCATTTGTGATTAATTCAGGGTTGTTTAGCCTAATCAATTAGTGTCCAATTCACAAACATTATCAAGTAATTGACAACGGTTTTTCCAATTAATATTATTTTCACTTATTCCAACTAACCAAGTCTCAACAGAGAATAACTGATTTGTTGAATGTAAATGTTTAATGAGTCTGACAACCAATTGTCAAATTCCATCAAACACCCATCTCTAAATAATTTATTTACATGACAGTAATGAAAAAGAAAGAAATACATCCTGAAGAAAAAAATTAACAGGACATCAGTAGCACAAGTTCTTTAAAATGTTAAGCTTACTTTTACTGACTTATGTTTGTGTCGACATCAGCAGCACAAGTTCTATTAAAATGTTAAGCTTACTTTTATTGACTAATGTTTGTGATGACATCAGCAGCACAAGTTCTATTAAAATGTTAAGCTTACTTTTATTGATTTATGTTTGTGCCAACTTAATAAACTTAAGAACTTCATTAATATATCACAGACGTAGCTCCAGACAAATAGATTTATGATAAAAAAAATTGATATTTATTATTCATTGTGCATCAAGCTCATTGTTTCTCAGCTAAAGAACTTTCGAGACAAATCAAATGGAGCTAATATTACCTTTCTTGTAATTGTCGACTAGGTATAAGTCCAGCTCTAGAGTTTCTCTCACCCTCCCTCCTGGCCTGCCACCAATTGGGATCATCCTGATTGACTATATGTAAAATATCACCTTTACTAAATGGAAGACCTGCCTCTTTGCATGGAGCCTGGGGATCAAGAGAAGGGTCATAGGTGAAGTGAGCCCGCACTCGCACCCGACTTTCTCTTGCATGGAAAAAATCTTCTCCTGGCACCAGCTTAAAAGTGATGGTACCATCCTGTGTTTGCTGCTTTTCAAAAATAATACCATGGAAAGATCTAATTTGATAGTTTTAAATATACATATATAATAAACAGTATTGTACTAAACTTATGTCTTACTGCATTGAAAGTTCTACCCACTATGAAAAATATGAAATAAAAACAGCAACAACATGAAGCTTCATAAGCAGATGATGAAAGGAATATTGTATAATGGATATTTCCCAGGAATAAACTTTTATTGAGATGTACAACTATCTACATGTATAATAATGGTTGGAGATGGCTTGAATGGATAATGAAGAAAACTTTAATATAAGTTTAACGTAACAGCAAAACCTTGTTGAAACGTTGCACATTTGCTGTTATGTTAGACTTGTATTAAAGTTTTTCTTCATTACCCATTCAAACCGTCTCCAACCATTAGTAGTCTCAAAGTGGGTTCCTCGTCATCATATCTACATGTATGCATGCACACACACGAGTTGGTCAGGATGACCATATTCACAACATGCGGGTTAGTATTTTCTAACTTTTAACCAATTTATCTAAGCCTCTGTTTCTTTAAAAAATATTACCACAAAATCACTATTTTTTGAGAAAACTGTAACTTAAGAGTGGAGAGGAAGTTAAGTGTTCACACACAGAAAAATATTGTTTACATTTTGAAAAACAAACCATATTTTTATGCAGAATTGATGCAATATTAACACCTTTTTGTGATTCTTTTTTGTTCCCAAAAAGTTTTGATTTTTAAATACTTTCAGCTACAAGAAATTGTTTCAAAAACTCCTTAAGCTTATTTATGATAAATAAATGAATTAATAAAAAAATATTACACAAAAATATAACAGAATCCAATTGATATCTTGGAAGAGATATGAATTCTTTCCAGTTTCTTTCATACATTGTAATGATGGATGGATAAATAAATAAATATGACCCTGTGCTCTCTAATTTCCAACTAAAGGTCATACATAGCTCCAACACAGACAATAGTGTATTTTACAACAGATCTACAGCAAGTGAACGTCATTTACGAGTACAAGTGTAATAAAAGAGACTGCGAGCTCCTGGCAAACGCCTCCTACATCGGAATGACTACCACAACCCTGTCAAGACACCTAACAATGCACCTACAAAATGGAGCCATCAAAGA